GGAGCCGGGCGGGGGGCCCGGGGGTGCCAGGCAGAGCACTTCTGGGGGCAGAGGGAGGGAGCTCGGGGAGGTGGGTGATGATGGGGGACCCACAGGGATGGCTTGTGCAGCCCCTCTGATCCCACTGCACCGAGCTCTGTCATCCCTTTTACCCAGGAAAAAAGGATGACAGCCCTCACTCAATAGGTGGTGGGAGAGAGAAGCTGCCAACAACCCCAGTGCCCTCATCTCCTCCCATCCCACATCCCCAAAATCTCCCTTAGACCTTCCCAGCTCCAAACTCGCTGTCCAGAGTGAAGGGCGAGACCCTCTTCCCCCCCGGTGTGAGCCCCCGGGACGGGCAGAGCCTCAGCGTGTGCCCGAGACAAAACTTCGGGGCATGGGGGGCCAGGGAAGAGGGAAACACCGGGAGCAGGGCACCCGGGTGGGCACCTGGGGATGGACCCACCTACCTGGGGCAGAAACAGGGCTTTTGTCGGGGGAGGATTTGATGGGGGTCCCAGAGGTTTTGTTAAGCAGCAGGACACCTTTCGGGCAGGATATTAAAGCTGGTGCTTTAGTGGTTTCATGCAGAGACTGAGGAGGAGAGCTGTGTTTGTGACTCTGTGCCGGAGGGTCTGCTTCCCCCGTGCGAGGAGGAGAGCTGTGTTTGTGGCTCTGTGCCGGAGGGTCTGCTTCCCCCGTACACCCGCTGTGCCGGGCACGGGATCAGGCTGGCCAAGCTCCCCGGGGATGCTCGAGGTGGTGGGCAGGTGACAGAAAAGGCAAGAGCTGTCCCAGCCATATGGATTTAAATGATTTCTCCCCAGGGAATTACCCGCCTCGGGCAGCCCCCCGCCTGCTGCTGCGGGGCTGGGCTTTGGTGTCCCCCGAATCTCCGCAGCCGCCTCCCCAGGTCAGGGCTGAGCCCAGCCGCTGCCAGCCGGGGCACCCGCTGCCTTGGGGCTGGATCTGACCCCCAGGATTACACCTGCCGAGTCGGGGGTCTGGGGGGTGTGCACAGGGGCAGCCTGGCTGCTCCGCTGAGCCCTTGCCCAGGCAGGTCCAGATGTGCACCCACAGCTGTGGCCACAACCCCGGGGCCACCCCAAACCCCGGGCACCCCGTGTTCGTTGTTCTTTACCTGTGCTGCTTGGCTGGTAGCTACGTGTGGGAAAAGGGAGAGCCCTCCCAGTCCTGCCGTGCCGAGGGTTGGCTGGACCTGCAGACCTCAGACGTGGCTTTCTCTGCTGCCCAAAGTTTGGGGATTGCTCGGGGCCAGGGGTTTGGCCTTTCCTAGACAGGGTGCTTCGCCAAGAAAGGCAGAGCCCGTCTGTCAGGCTCGCGGGTGGTTCGGATCCAGGCTTGCCGCTGGGCCCATCTCCAGCTGTAGCATCCCCTCCCTTCCCCAGTCCGATGAGAAGCGATTTTCTGTGCCAGGGCTCCGGAGCTAATGGTGCTGCGCCGAACTCCCGCTCCGCGTAGCTCCCTCCAAGGCCATCTCCTCAACCGGCGGCATCTGCTAGGACACAAAAATCCACTGACACAACTCCGAAAGCAATGAAAAGCTTACAGAGGTGTTGCTCGCACCCTCCGTCCGTGCCCCACTGCTTGGTCCAGCTGTCAAAATGCTTTATGGTGTTAATACCTGTGGCTTTGTCAACAGGAGTTGTGTTAATAACATGCACATTTCAGCGGGCTAATGCAGACCATGTGCCCCTCTTATAAGCGTGTTAATCTTTACGGGGGTTTCAGTGCTCGAGACGGAGAACTGAAAGGGAAACGCAGGCAGAGCAGGGAGCGTGCAGCACCTGGGACTGGAAGTTGCATTTTCTACAGCATTTAGGAGTGCGGAGGGGGGGACCTGGCAGGGGGGGAGGCATCGGCCGCTCCTGGCAGCCCTACGCGGAGGGGACATGCGGCCAGAGAGGGTCCCTGGGGTCAGCTGCCGGGGGTCCGGGTTTCGCACGGAGGAAGCGGTGCGGCTGGGTCCCATCCCCGCGGGCGCACGGAGCCGCTCGCAGCTGCCTGCGGCGTGGGAGAGCTGGCCGCTGCCGGCCCCAGCTGCGCTGCCCCAGCCTTCCCAGCACTATTTATAGCCAGGCACGTTTGGCTGCTCCCCCAGCCCCGCTCATGGCTGCTGCTGCCCCAACCATGGGGGGGGGGAGGGGGGCAAACCCCTGCCCAAGCAGGGGAGACGCACTGCAAGTCGGGGCTGCAGGGGATGGAGCAGCAGGGTGAGCTCCAACCAGGTTTGCTGCAAAGCCCCACGAGCTGGATCTGTCCCCCAGGAGAGGCAAAAGCAAGCCCCTTCCTCACCCCCAAACCCATTTCCCAGCTGTCGTTTGGGGGTGCTGGGAAGCGCCCCCCCACCCCGGCCAAGCCCTTCTGCCTGCGCAGCTGAGGCCCAGCGCCGGAGCGGGCTGCCAGCCTGGGCTGGCGAAGCAGCGCCAGGGAGGAGAGCACATGGTTTCAAGCGCAGGGTAATTGGAGCACTTTGTCATTCAGATGCCTATAATTGGCGCTCCATTGTCTCAGCCGGGCCGGATGCTGCCGGATGATGCACAGCGAGTTCATAACGCCGCATTGTGCAAGGAGGCGGCCAACTGGCTGACGAGGCATCCAGATGCATGGGGAGGGGGAGCTCTGCCAAATGTTAGCTGAGCTTCTTCCCCGAAAATCAGGCTTAGTTGGATGGCAAAGGTATGGTCCAGCCCTGGAACACACCTGCCTGCGAGCAGAGGGAGCAAAAGGAGCCCTGGCAGAGCTCAGATCACCGTGAGCATCTCAGCAGCCCTGCACCCAGGCAGAGACGCTTCCCGCACCGCACAGCCCTGGCCAAGAGGTGTTTTAGGGAGCAGCCACCCTGCAAATGCTCCCAGCTCCCCAGGCTGCAAAGTGCATGTGCAGGGTGGCTCTGACCCCACCGCTCGTGGCATGTTTATTGCTTCCATATGTGACGACAGGTTTTATAAGCAGATACGTTTACTTCCATTAGACAGTAATGTTGCTGAAGCTCTCAGTGCTCCCTTTAAAGTCTTAATTTCCATCGTGGGGTCTGATTTCAGATCCCCATGTGCAGCAAGAGCGCCGTGCAGAGCTGCCACCCAAGCTCTCCAAACCCCTCCATCGGGGCAGGCAGGTCACCCCACCGCCAGCTCGTAGGCAATGCCCTGCCTTCCCCCAGGGTAGGAAGGGTTGAACCCTTCAGGATGGCAAAGCATGCTTAGAAGAGACAACTCAGATGACAGGCAAGGGCAAACAATGCTGTAACCCCGCAGAAAAGCCCACGTCCCCCCCAAAATACCCACCAGCCCAGACTGTGGAGACATGGGCTTTCCTGACCTCCCTCCAGTAGCAGCACTCGGCAGGGGATTTCTTGATGAGCGAGTTTTGCATAGGAAAGTAATTTCTCCCAAGACCTGTATTTAATCTGTGACCCCCTTTTAGTCCCGACGTGGGATGTCCACCCCAGAGCGGGACCCTACCTAGATGCAACACACTTCTCCTTGCAAGGAGGGCCCCATAATGAGGGTCGTCCCCGTTCAGGGACCTGCCTGGGGCTCCAAGGACAAGTGCCCCACCAAGATGTACACGACTGGCGGGGAGTGCTGCAAAGCCTGCAACCTGGGAGAGGGGGTGGTGCAGCCCTGCGGGGTCAACCAGACGGTCTGCGAGCCCTGCCTGGACAGTGAGTACTCGCTCCCCTCCGCAAAGCGCCGCAAAGGGGCTGGCACGGGGTATGGGGGGGGGCTTGGGGGACCATGAGCATTAGCAGGCACTTGGGTCTCTCCACGTGCGTCCTCTTTCCCTCCTGAAGCCTTGCCTGGGCAAAATTTGTGCTGTTTGCTTCGATCGGTCCGTGCACAGCCCAAGGCGGGGAGTGCTGCAAAGCCTGCAACCTGGGAGAGGGGGTGGTGCAGCCCTGCGGGGTCAACCAGACGGTCTGCGAGCCCTGCCTGGACAGTGAGTACTCGCTCCCCTCCGCAAAGCGCCGCAAAGGGGCTGGCACGGGGTATGGGGGGGGGCTTGGGGGACCATGAGCATTAGCAGGCACTTGGGTCTCTCCACGTGCGTCCTCTTTCCCTCCTGAAGCGTTGCCTGGGCAAAATTTGTGCTGTTTGCTTCGATCTGTCCATGCACAGCCCAAGGGTCTCGGGCACAGCCTTTGCACAGATGAGCTCCACCCCGCACGCAGCCTTCCCAGGCCACCCATCTCTGCACTGACACCAGGGTTACTTCCAGCATTTCACCAAAGCATCTGCCCTGCAAATCCCAGCCGCGGATGCAGCAGCTCCCCCCGTTTTGGGATCCGTTGGTGCCAGGCACCTTTGCAGATCCCACTTCCAGCACTGTTCCCCTCTTGATGGCTCCCTGGCTACTGGCTCGTGGCCAACATTTGCCTCCCAAAAAATTCCCCTCCCCACGCTGCTTGCACATCGATCTCCAATCCAACCACAGGGATGTCTCCCAGTGAGCCACCTGTATTATTTTTTTTTTTTAAAACCTTGTAAAGACTGCAAAATAAAAGCAAATTTGAGAGGGGAGAAGCAAATCACGTCGGGCCCTGAGAGAGAGGGGAACAGTTTTCTTCTGGCCAGCTCCAGGCACATTGCCTATGTCAAATGCTTCATAAATGTCGGTTGGAGATGTGTGCTGGAGACCTGCTTAAATGCTTACAGATGAAGTGGTTCAACTATTACTGTTTAAACAATGCCATGATAGGCATAAGCAATCTGCCCTTCAGATTTACTGCTGCAAACCCTTTGAAGGCCTAAGGACAAGCATTTGTAAGAAAAGCTGTGCCAGCCAAGCCCAGATTGCTCCAGGGATGTGATTTGAGAGGGGGAAGGGACAGACTATGGCTGTGGGGGAGCAAAGAGGAGGCAAAGGCCGGGGCGGGGGAGAAGCAGTCTAAGCAGAGCAGCGGCAGCACGGAGCAGGGGACAGAACAGCATCAGGGCAGTGCTAAAAATACCTCTTGCTTTCCTGCAAAATCGATGAACAGTCCTTACCCTCGCAGCGCCTGGCTGCAGGGGCTGAACCCCACCAGCTGCAACCTCGGGGCTGCTGCGCAGGATAACCCCGCCGGGCACGGCAGGCTCCCTCCCTCCCGGGCTGCAACGGGCTCAGACCCATCTTGCTGCAAGGTGCCAGGGCATCCACTGCGCCGTCCATCCCAGTGAGCCCTTCCTGCAGGGAACCTGGCTGGGGCATCGGGCTCCAGCTCCCGGGCGTGCAGGGCTGTAAATTCAGAGGGTTGCTTTGCGTTCCTGGGGATGCTCAGACAAGCCAGTCTCCTGTAACCCCCTGCACTTTCGGGCTGGCAGATGGCTTGTCTCCCTGGTTTTTTTCTGGGAACTGAGAGGATAAAGGGAATTTCCACCGTCCCTGGAGGACGTAGGGTGTGGAGTTTACGGACAGACCGGGGCCATGACCTGGGTGCAGTGCTGGAAGACATGTGCATCAGCTGGGGCGCGGGTGCAAGTGCCACTGCTCTGGTTTGCATCCCAGCTCCTCCTGCCCAGCCCCATGTTGCCCCAGGCCAGGCATTTGCATTTTTGCAGGTGATTAACATCAGGCAGCAGCTCTGTTAGGTCAGGGAGCTGAGCTGGAAAGTACCAGGACAAAAGGGTTTGGGCCCTTCCTCCATCCCTGCGGGGATGAGAGCAGCCAGGAGCAAACACTGCAGCCCCAAGGCCTCTCAGCATCACACAGAGGCCAAGAACAAAACCCCAGGGCAGCGCTTTGTACCTTGCTTGGCTTTGCTGCTGATGGGCCAGCACAGCTGAGTGCTCCTGGCCTCCAGGCAGCTGCTCTGGGACTGCCAGTCCCCCTCTCCATGCCTCAGTTTCCCCCACAGCCCTTCACCTGCCTCCCAGTCCAGAAGCTCACAGCCCTGCTACCCCTTGCTTGGGAATATCTACCATGGGAGATCCCACTCACTCACCTAACTGCACAGCAGCGCGGTGCATCGCCCCAGGGCAGGATCAGGCAGCTGTTATAAGAAGCAGCACCAAGAGGGCAACCCACCCCCTTCACCGCCACAAAGACAGAAGCAGGAGACAAGCACGGTGCACGCCCCAGGGCAGGATCAGGCAGCTCTCATAAGAAGCAGCACCAAGAGGGCAACCCGCCCCCCTCACCACCCCAAAGACAGAAACAGCAGACAAGCTGGAGAACCACAACCAGGGCAAAGCTTCTGCAAACCCTCCTGCTTTATACGCCCAGCCCTGCCCCAGCTGTAGCCTTTCATTCATTCATTAATGGCAGCATGGACTAATCCCCAGAAGCTCATCAGCTGGGAGCTGCTGGGTAGGGGTGACCATGGGGTGACTCACGGGTGCAGGTGCTGCAAGGGGGGCAAATGCTTCCCCCAGCTCTTCTCTGAGCCCAGAGTGGGATTTCGGGGTGGGGAGAGAAGGAGACCTGCAAACCCCATTGTCAGCCCTTGCCGGGATGGGGAGAGGGTCCTTTTGGATCTGGGCTCGCACTGGATCCCGCTGCCGCAGGCGCCGGGCCGGTGCAGGCC